GCGAGCGGAGTCGACCTTAAAAAAAAGACTGTTGTTGGCACGTGTTTATGGCGCGGCAGCTGGTAGTTGGCGGTGTTTCGCGTGGTGTGGCATCACTGGCGGATCTGGGGGGGGGGAGGAGGGGCACGGGAGCCTGAGGTGCCCCTGACAGGCCCGTGGTGCCCTTGCTAGGCCTGTGGTGCCCCTGGACCCTGGCAGGCCTGTGGAACAGTCCACAGCAGAAGTAATGTGGGGTTTCAGTCATGGGTATGTTCTGCTTCTGAAGCTTAGGAACGATTAGCCAGACTACAATGAAACTTTGAATGTAGCTTATATGTATCGTCACCCTTGCAGCTGCAACTTTAGCTATTGACATCTTCTTTTCAATCACTTCGCATTAAACAATCGCCAGTCAAAGCCAACCGTTGAGTTTGGTAAAACCCTACATTACTTTAGCGGTGGGCTGTACCTCTGGCGGGCCTAGGGTGCCCCTGCTAGGCTGCTGATGCCCCTGGGACCTGACAGGACTGTGGTGCCCCTGACAAGCCTAAAGTGCCCCCAACAGGCCCGTGATGCCCCCGACAGGCCCAAGGTGCCCCTGCGTGATGCCGTGATGCCTGCGAGGCCGGTGGTGCCCCCTGCGAGGTCGGTGGGGCCCCTGACAGGCCCATGGTGTCAGGGGCCCCACAGAAGCCCTTCAGAAAGGGCGAAAACGAATATCTACCAAATTTTATCGAAAAATATTCACCGGTTTTCAAGAGATTAGACTTTTATTTTTGCTTACTTTTTGGGATATCCGCTGCTGTTCCTAGCGACTTTACTTGAAAGTGCGGCATTTGTTGCGCGCAAAGCAGCCTATACCACCGCATGCTACCAAACGTTTTAGTAAAATATTAAAAAATCATTAGATCTCCGCTGACGTCACACATTCAGAGGGGTATCCAAAAGCATTAGCCCCTCTGAATCAAAATGCTGCAATTTTGAAATTCAATATTTCCGATTTAAGGCATTTCTCGATGTTGTGAGTGCGTGCCGAAACCGGTAATTGTGAGCCAGGGACCCCATTTTGGCTATCTCAGCTCAAATCTAATGTTAAGGTGGGAGGGTCCAGGGGCGCGGGAACTACTTTCCGACTGGGGGGGGCACACCATAATAGAGATTAACCTAGGGTACCCCCAAATCTAGTTTTCTCACCGGTTTTAGGCCACTTATTTTTCACCCCTCGGCTTTTTCAACAAAAAAAGAAAACATTTGCAAAAAAAGTGTAGTATTCCGTCTCAAAGCTGTGGGGCAGGGGGCACCGCCCCCACGGCCCCAGAGTTGGGGGGGCAAGCTGCCCCCACTGCCCCCCCGGCTCCCGCGCCTATGGGAGGGTCTCTTTAACTGGTCGATAAAAACAATGGTAAGTGTTTACAAAGTAATATAAAGGCATGGGTCGGGTGGGCTACCATTTATATATTTTTCTTTTTAGTTAAAAAAAAAATTCATAGTGTTAGGGCTGTGACGAAAAATAAGTGGCCTAAATCCGATGAGAAAACAGGATTTGGGGGTAGGTACCCTAGGTTTGGCTCCTGCATGAGTTGGCCCCCCCCCCCAAAACGCAAGCCTGGATCCGCCAGTGCGAAACAGTACGTTACCTCAGAGCTGCATCCAAGGTCCTGCAGTCCGATCCAGGCCGATGATGATGATCGGGGAACTCGCGCATATTTTCGTCGAGATACAGAAACACCGCTGACGATCGCGATCGTCACGCACTGCACATTATGATAATCACTTTGTTCCACACAACCCAAGGCAACGTTGACACTCACACAGTCCAATCCAGCCGACAAACACCCCATGCACACCCACGACCAACAATCGCCGAACTCACGGCAACGACGGCAATTGACTTGACAACAATACGCGTCAGCTGGCGCCGCGGGCCATGCGGTGTCGACTTCTGCGGTCGGCCCGCTCCTCTGCTGCACGCTGATTGGTCGAGACGCCCGGCCGTCTCGGCTCGGTAAACCGCCCGGGGCGATTGTTAGGGGGGGGGGGGGTAGGGGAGGGGATAGAAGCAAGATCAAGCAAGCCTGGAACGCACCAACGGCAGAGCGAGCTGCATAACTCCATGGCTTACCACTTTCCACTTCCATCCAAGTAGGTATGTGATCAGTTTATTTCATCCAAGTTTTTGAGCTTTGCAATTTGCATCAACGCTTAAAACTTTTGACTTTTGAGTTTGGGGCTATATGTGGCTCCTGCTTATTCATTTTTATTTATTTTTTGCCCTTTTCATCGATCATCCCATCCTTGTCGTGTGAATTTGACACGAAAGGACAGTGGCCAAAGAAAAAAATATGTCCCGATTTTTGTACCATTTCAGGCATCCCGAATTAAAAGGCAGCTGGCAGTATCACACTATTACAGTGAAGGAAGTTGTTATAGGTCCGCGGATTGGTATCAGACATCTGGGCAGAGGCAGACCCTTTGTCCCTGGCCTCATCTGATATGGCGCAGTAACAAGCGCACAGCCGTCAGAAGCCATGCTTCCAAATGAGCAGAAGTGACAAAACACTGCCCCTGTCCTTGCCCTTCCTTGCCCTGCCCGTGATCTGCTTGGATTTTGAAAAAGAGTCCTGCTTCAGGTCGGACAAATAAATTCACCTTTCCTTTACCTTGCAATGACGGGTCTTTTTCGGACGTTGCATGGGTCGGAAAAGATAAGATAAGATAAGGATTTTGATGCTTGGAGCTCCTACCTGACCACCTAGACACAATTTACTGTTCGACTGAGGACAGCTGCCTACTGAACTCCGGACATATATTGGCACAAGAAATAGAACAATACAGAACTCTCCTGCCAAGTGCTCCGTCACGACCCGATGGTTGGGGGGGGGGGGGGGGGGCGAAGGCCGTTTGAAGTCGCGATTCTTTCCATGCAGCACCCATAGGCATAATGTTAAAAATGCAAAATATTGGGGACAAGTCCCCCCGTACCCCCCCCCCCTCCCCCCGGTGGCGGAGCCCATGTCTCCTCCCAATCATGGTGGCTGGAAGCAACGTCACCTGAGGTCAGGAGCGATCGGCTATGGTCATCACATCATCATCGACGCGACAAATGACTTATGACATATTCTACTTCCTCTGCTTCTAATAGGCGACTGGTTGATGGCTGCGTTGACCAGAAGGAATCATAGAAGAGCGGCTGTGAGGAGGACAGGAGAATATCACAACGAGGTAAGAGATAAACGGTGGGCGTATATGCATAGAAAGATATGAGAAACAACTTGAGAGCAAGAGTGAGAGAGATAGAGAGAGAGAGGGAGAGAGAGAGGGAGAGAGAGGGGGAGAGGGGGAGAGAGGGAGAGAGGGGGAGAGAGAGAGAGAGAGAGAGAGAGAGAGAGAGAGAGAGAGAGACAGAGAGAGAGAGGGAGGAAAGTCTACAAGAGACCTGGAAGGAAACATGATGGGGAAACAAGGATTTTTTTTCAGGGAAAACCAGGCCGAAAAGTATCGCGTGCTACACACGAGTAAGCGTCCAACACGTAGAGAAGTTTCTGTGTATAGGAATGGGATTGGTGCTAGGGAGGCCACAATCTCAGCAGAGCCAACAAAAGAGAAAGAGAGAGAGAGGGGGGGAGAAAATGAGGAAGAGAGAGAGAGAGAGAGAGAGAGAGAGAGAGAGAGAGAGAGAGAGAGAGAGAGAGAGAGAGAGAGAGAGAGAGAGAGAGAGAGAGAGAGAGAGAGAGAGAGAGAGAGAGAGAGAGAGTAATCGCCACGCACTTTCAGAATGTGGATCGCTCATGATTGTTCAATACAATACAATAAAATACAAAAGACCCGCTCGACTTTGGTCACCGGCGGATGGGCTCCGGATGGGTCCTCTGTTTACTGACCGGTCCCGAGATGTATTTGCTGCCCACTCTGACTGACGAGAGCTCTCCTGAAAGCGTTCCAACGTAACCGGACAGCGGCCGAGGTCGAATCGTTTGTCCGTGCCCGTCGACGGTGTCGACTCCTCCGAACAGAGAACGAGCGATGTCGCTGAGCTGAGCGATGGCCGGGCGATAGCCAGGCGATTGTTGGTAATCGCCCACCCATCCGGAGGGGCGATTACTCTCCTGAGCTCGTTGAAAAGCCAAGAGTGAATACAATGTCGGCATCCTGATCGGACCGGCATCAGAAGCGTGAATCATTATCATGATGCATTTCTCGTGGCAATGAGGCCAAATACTCGTACCTATGATTTCCAGTCCCGTTTCCCAATTTGTCGCATTTTTTCTACTAGTTTGTTCACATTAAAAATGCTGCCCAGTGCCCACCGATGACCGAGAGCTTCCTGAAGAATAAAAACAATACACCAGCGAGTTATAGCATTTACCTATTAATTACGCATATTTCTTTTGAAAGTAGAAGCTTAGCTGGTCCAATTATTCTAAATTCTTATATCATTGCAGTGGAGACGAAGTTAGTTCAGTTACGTGAACGTCCATGACAGAATTACTGGTTGATTGATCATTCTTCACTAATTGATTCATGGTTTTTCAAGTATCGTCAGGTAAAATCACTGATCAGCGATTGACGCTCTCCGTTTTCTTGGAGTCCAGCAATATTTGTTTTTACAGTATATGCTGACTTCCCTTCGCGTTTGTTTATCGGCTGGTTTTTATTGCCGTTGGGCGGTGTTGTTGCCAAACCTCGCCGTGAGCTCGGCGGGGGACGCTCGGCTCCCGGCGGACCGGCCCTCCTCTCATTACACACCGAGCCGGCTCCATCGTCAGCGTCGCAGCCGACGAACGACGCAGCCCATTGGCGGCTCCCAGTCGCCGGAAACCATCAGCGCGCTCGGCCGCCCGCAGTCACTGCCGGGGCCGGGGCCGGGGTCTGGTCCTTGCAGGCCACCTTGTGTCGTTGAGCACGGCTCCAGTTTCACATTTCCGGCTCATCGGGCGGCCGGTCTTCGAGACTGTCCGCCGCCGGCGCCGCGAGACTGTCCACCCTATCTGCCGTGCCTTCCTCGTGTCAAATAGGTTGGGAGTGCGGCCGGCGCTGGTACGGGCCGGGCGCATTACCGCAGGCACCCGGGCCGCCCGCCGCCGCCGCCCGCGCTCCGGCGCCGCCGCCGCCGCCACTGCCGCCAGTCGAGCGCCCGACAGCGAGTGGGGAGGAGTGGGGAGAGCGCGCGGGGACCCGCTCGGTGAGCCGGTGTGTGCGAGTGCGCCCGGCGTCTGGAGCGCGTGCTGCCGCCATGGTGTCCCTCGACCAGGGCGGTAAAGTGGACAAGGCGGCCAGTGAGAAGGCCGCCGAGACGGCCGTCAAAAGTGACATCAAGTCGTGCCCTAACAGTGCCGATGGCGATACCGTGTCCGACGGCCGAACGGACGAACCGGAGGCCGATTTCGACGATTTTGTGATGACAGTGACGGGCAAATCGCGGCTGGTGCGCGGCCGCGCCTGGAAGAAGTGCGGCACCGAAGAGTACGTGCGCTACAAGTGTTTCGATGATGGAGTGGAGTATCTGCCCGGAGGTAAGTGGCCTGGCAGTCGCCGGTGGCTGTTGTGTGCTCCGGACTGCCGGAGGTGGCGGCCCTGGCGGGGTCTTCAGTCTCAGTCCGGATGTGGTTGACTGATCGGGGCCATGGCTGAGGTAAAGTGACTGTCAAGGATGCCAGCGAATGCGGAAACTCCCCGCAACGCTGGTTTCTGATCAATGGTTTGGAGTGTGGATTATTACACAGCATTTCACTTTTCCGATGGTGATATTTGTCTGGTTTTCGATATCAAAGATCGTCTTTGTCTTTCAGTAGCCTGGACTTTCCTAATATTTAATGGGAGGTTGCATTTAATTCTTTTCAGATTTTGTTTTGTTTTAAAGTTTGTTCATGACCTCTAAGTTTCCTCTGGCGCTTTTTGTGCATGGTTTATTTAGTCATCCATTCGTCACGCCTTATCATCGCTATGTGATACGAGTGGCTACTTATCTCGAGTGCTGTCGACCTCAGGAGAGCCTCACCTTGGCCATTATTGGGTGTCACGATTGATACGTGCTTTGTCATCATCCTTCGGTCCGAAACATCATCCTCCGAAAAGTTCCTCACCAGTTAGCACAATTTGACCGCATTCCCATTCAGTGATGCCGTCAGTGCGTTGGCTGGCCTCCAAATACCCAATTCATTCGGGCACAATCACCAGCTTTATGACAAAGACCTCCGCCAGCGCGAGCGTTCAGCGCCGGCGTCGGAAGCTGCTCCTTTTTGCCCGGCGGCGGCCCACGGCACAATCACAGCACCTCCTGCGAGGCTATTACCGCTCGGCACTGCCCTGCCCGCGATGGACGGCCACAGATAGACCACGTGCGGTTAGGAACTCGTTGACAGCGCGGAGCATCACCCCTGGCACTGATGTAACTCGACGTGTGACCTGAGCGGTGACGAAGGCGACTCGATGACTCACTCACCGTTTGGAGTGGTGACTGAGTGATTTAACTCCACTCTGACACCGCGAGTTGACAAGTCCCTCAATGCGCACCAGTTACAACCCAATCACAAACACAACACGCCGCTAGGACGCCGTCAGTATGTGTGTCTGTCTGCCGCTCACACCACGCGCCGCGGCCGGCGCCGAACGGCGGCGGCCGGCTCCCCCTCTCCCCGCTCTCTCCACTCTCTCCCCCTCTGTCGGGGGCTCGGCTGGAGAGAGGGGAGGGCGAACCGTGTCGGCTGGCGCCCTCACGCGCTGCCAACACCTCCCAGATACCATCGGGGTGTCACACTGGTGCTGCGTCGCCGTCCTATAGGCACGCTGCCTGAGAGGCAGCGTGCCTATATGACCCGTGACCCGTGACAGGGTCACGGGTCAGCGGTTAGGGGTCACCGGTCAGAGGTTGTTGGTCAGCGGTTAGAGGTTATTGGTCAGCGGTCACCGGACAAGGGTCAGCAGTTAGAGGTTATTGGTCACTGGTTGACATTTGCTAGTCAACTTTCAGCGACGGCTGGTTAGAGGACATTGATCAATGATGGATGATAATTGATCAACCTCAGCAAACGGCGATCATTGGTCGCCTGTCATGTGTCTTCTCGGTTAGGGTCAACTGTCACTTGTCACTGGTCATCAGTCAGCGATCACTGATGACGACAGCACTGCCAACGGTCAACGGTCGCTGGCCAACAGACATGGCCAACGGTCAACGCCAAACGCCCAGCGTTCAGGCTCGCCGTCCCGTGTCTCAGTGACGTCACAGGGCGGCCCGGAGACGGTCACGCCGCGCTGGGGACGGCGTGACGCGCGACAGGACGCCCGGTTAGGGGCGTCACGGCGGTGACGGCGACGTCAGGAGAGAGCCGTCCGTCACTCCGAAATAAACCGACATTTTACGTAGCTACCTTGACCTGTCGAGGGTGGTATTTAATTTGACAAGTGCCAATCGATGGAGGGTATGGCTGAAATGACAGCAGGCCATCAAATTCACTTTTCAAATATATTTTTACCTATATGTGATGTGCTGTGTAAGCAAAGGGCGCGTTACGCTGAATTGCACTGGGGAAGTAGGTATCACGTTACCCTACTAGCAACTCCTAAACCTTGACCGTACACTTTTACTGGCTGTTCCTCTCGACTAATGAGGCGGTAATCAGTTCAGCCAGTTACACTGATTACCGGCTCGTCAAAGCGAGAAGGCGCTCATAAAACGGCCGCTACGAAGGCAACTCGTTCCAGGCGAGTTTCGAGGACCATGGAATATTTCTTGAGGTCGGGCGCCATCCCATCTTGAGTGCTCCTCCGAGCACTCACCAGAAAGAAAATAAAAATGCCGGGAATCTTGGGGACTGCTTTCATTCCGGCCTGCTTACGAGCGTTGTTTTTATCGCCGAGCGCGCCTGAAATGGAGCTTTAACGGCTGTTTTGACATAATGCCCGGTATGGTTGGCGTCCGGTCGACGCGCAGCACTACCCGGCCACACGGCCCGTTCCTGGAGACCATTCGAGTCAACTGGCACCGCTAATGCGATCACGGTGTAGCTCGTATTCTGTTAAAGGAAAAGGGCCACCTTCGTGAAATATGAAGATATCGTTGTTTTTCATTTTGACATTATTATTTTTCATTTTCTTTTTAAAACTGGTGCCAGAAGTGCACAATTCGCGAAAAAGTATTTAAAAATATTTAACATATTGGTACTATGTTGATACTCTCTACGGCACCTACTGTATGATGGCATAGCGATGACGTCACACTCAAGCCAATCAGCGTTCAGAAGACAGACTCGTCGGATTGTGTCAGAAAAGCTGATTGGTTAAAGCTGAGCTGGTTGGAGCTGATTGGTAAAAAACCAAAGCCTCGCCGCGGGTGGCTGTATTGTCGGATAAGAACGCATTCCTGGGATAAGGACGCATTCCCGGGGTATTTTCTTTTAAAATTACCGATAACTACGAATGGAGGCCGAAATCGGCCGTAAGGAGGAAGACAGATAGGTTTTCGGACACGGGCTACAAGATGGCTATCTCAGTTTCAATCCCCATGTTAAAGGTGGCCCTTTTCCTTTAACAGCATCAGCCCGATCGACCGCCGCCAGCCGGCTGAGGGCGGAGGGGAGGGGAGGGGTGAGGGTGGTCCTACCCCGACACTGGCTCCATGGCCCGCCGCAGCACGGCCCAATATCACTGCACCGGACGGCTAATAGTCGCCGCGGCGCCAAATTAACGACCGGAAACCGAGCCATCGCGACGCTCCTCCCCTCTCCCCTCCCTCCGCTGGCCTCTCTCATCCGCTCGCTCCCCCGCGCTGCGCCGAGTTGTGCTGACTGCTTTTTGCCGAGCCGTGTGTCTGTCTCCGTATGCTGCCGGCGGAGTTGCACGGAATGTTTGCTGTGTTCGGCCGTCGTCAGTGGCTGGGAGGGGAGGTTTGGATGGGGGAGGGGGGGGGGGGCTGGTCCAAGGTGCAGGAAAGTGTTGAATACCAGCCGCCTGTATTTGGTTTGCTGGCGCCATTGTTGATAACAAAATGATGTGAACGGATGCTTTATGCATGATGCCATTTCTCATTGCGTAACCTGACCATGAGTCGTTCCCGTTGACGACTTTGTCACGTGCTGGGTGTCCGTTTTTCGTGTCGGCCGTAATCTATACCAGGCTGACGGGCCTGCTCCCCCCGGCTACTGCAATATCGGGCTCCGCTCGCCACACGCCCAGCGCTGGCCGAGCCGTGAAGTCATAACCCGCACTTGGTGGGGACAAGTGTGACGTCATCTGGACGAGCCGGGTCGTCAGCTGGCTCCCCTCCCCTCCGCTGCCTCCCCATTGTCCCCTCCGGGCGGCTGCCCTGCCCCACCGACAAAAGCCTGGCGTCTGACGGGGAGGGGAGGGGAGGGGTGGACGGAATCACTGCTTTGGGCTCATGCCTGACGCCTCCGTGATCTATGACACTCTGTTGGCTGAGGAAAGGCCGATCGCCCACTGGTGGCAGTTCCTGCTCCTGGAACCACCCGCCACAGTGGGGTCACGACAGGAAAAAAACAAAGAAGAACAAAAAAAAAATTGTTGAGACCATGACCGATGGTCCGTCCCCTTCGCTGTCTCGTCTCTGACTGTCCTATATCCCGCGCTCCCCTCGTGCCTCCCGCCCCAGCCCGCCCGCTCCGCTTATCTCTCTCCCTCCCACCGTCCCTCCCTCTCCCTCGCTCTCTCCGGCATCTGTCTGCCCTCGCCCAACGCCTCTTAGCCGGGGGGCCGCTAAGTTGCCAATCTCCTCAGGATTAGTCGGCGAGCACCGGCCGCTCGGCTGCCCGGGGCGGGGTGGAGAGGGGGAGGGGGAGAGGTGCCGTCGATGGAGCGGAGTTCGACCTCTCTGTCGCTCCTCGCCGGCCGCTCAGACGCTGCTACCAGCGGGATAGCGACCGGTCCGCTCGTGGGCGCCGCCATTTTGTCACGCAGCCGGCAAACAGTCGGTTTGGGCCATCAATCGCCGGCGCGGCCGCCCTCAGCCTCAGCGCGGCCCTTCCCAGCGGGGAGCGTCCGCTCAGCGGACCGGCCGCCCCGCGAGGAGTCACTCTCCCCACTGCCTCCACCCCTCCCCACTGCCATCGGAGCCCACACTGCATGGACTGCATCATCAAACTTCCTCACCAATACTTCCCCTCTGCTCACCGGAGAACACCCCGGGGACACTGTGAACACCTCCCGCTAACCGCTGCAGCCGCTCAGAGAAAGCCGCGCGCGGCGGAAGCGATTTCAGCCGACTGATGGGCCCAGATTTCCGGTGGTGGTGGGGTCATTCACTCGGCTGAGGCGGCCGGCCGGTCGGACGGTGGACCCGGCCCGGCGCGGCGTGTCACAGCCGCCAGCTTCACGGCTAGTTTCCCCGGCTACCATTACCGATATTTAGCCCAGCATGGGTCTTTGAGGCTAATTGTGACTCAATGTGTGGCGTAATGCGCCGCGCTACAACTTGCTACTGTTTTTCCAATGAGCTTTTATTAGGTGCGGGAGGGTCCAATTTCCTGCTGATTCCGTCCCTCTATCCACTCCTGTCCGG